ATATAATTTTCGATGTTGCAATACATATTTTCCGATGTTGCACTACATATTGTTGCGATGTCGCATATTTATATTCCGATGTTGCACTACATAGTTTATATATTTTTTGCGATATTGTACTTGAAGTGTTTCGTGCTCTTGGGACAGGGGCGCGGTGAGGAACGGGACGCGGTGGGGGAACGGGGAGCGGTGGGGAATGGGGACAGCGGCGCGACCCTTCCTGTCGCTGAGGAGGCGCAAGCCGCCGGTCGCCGCGGAGGCCACGGGGGCGCGCAGGCGCGTGGGGAGGGAGGTAAGCGCGGTCCGCATCGCCATCTCGTGCTCTCGTTGGTCGTCGTGGTCGAACCTGCGTGGAACAGGGACGTGGTGGGGAACGTGGCACGGTGAGGGACAGGGGCGTGGAACAGGGACGTGGTGGAGTATTAAATATAGACTAAAAAATAACTAATTACACAGATTGCGACTAATTTGCGAGACGAATTTTTTAAGCCTAATTAGTCCATGATTTGATAATGTGGTGCTACAGTAAATATGTGCTAATGATGGATTAATTAGACTTAATAGATTCGTCTCGTAAATTAGTCTACTCCTGTGTAATTAGTTTTTTAATTAGCTCATATTTAGTCCTCCTAATTAGCATCCGAACATCCGATGTGACACGGACTAAACTTTAGTCCCTGGATCCAAACACCCCCTTAGCTATTGCGTTCAGCTTTATAGTTGGTGCCATCTCAAAATAAAAGGGCTCTGAGATTTTTTTAGAACAAATTAAGGAAGTGAAATAACTGTAAATCAAGCAACTTTGTCCTGTTTTAGTTGTTTATATAATAATCTTAAAATTTTAAACAATGCACAAAAGAAAAGAATTCAAAGAAGAGGGAACCCAAACTGTAGCGGATTCAACTCCGAGAACCCAGCAACACGCCAAGAGTGTCTGCCGGCTATTTCTTTGAATCAGCCTTGGACAGATTTTTGCTTCTTGTCATGTCAATTGCCATCGCTTGCAAACAAAGCCACAATTAGTTTTGCACCGAAACACACAAGTAAATATGACATGAACATTCAGAAAACGAGGTCCCATAAATTTGCACGCAACAAAACTCACAGATCAAAGCTATGGCGAAAGTACAAATCCGGCAATCTTTCATCATGTTGCCATCGCAGTACAGAGACAAAGGAGTAAACAAGGAAACTGTCAGGAACCCTCACGAAATATTATGAGTTGGGCCGATCAAGGAGCGTGAACTGGACCTGGGCCAAGTGAAGGCAACGACTGGGCTTGTCAGCAGGCCAAGGAGCAAAGCAACTCTTCGTAAAAGGATTGCCATCAGCATGGAGAAGGGCATCGAGGAACCAGACGGCCAACCGGCGGCGAGCTCACGCTCGAGGCGAGCATTTGCTCGAGGGCTTGCTTAGGCCTGGTTTACATTATAAGTTTTTTCACTCTCTTTTTATCACATCAAATCTTTGATGTATGTATGGAGTATTAAATGTAGATAAAAAAACTAATTACAGATTTGATTGTAAATTACGAGACGAATCTTTTGAGCCTAGTTAGATCATGATTGAACAATAATTGTCAAATACAAACGAAAAGTGTTACAGTGTCAGAATACTGATTCATAGCCTCAATCTAAACAAGGCCTTAGACTAGATTGCTACCCTTTATCCTTATCATCTTCCATGTACTGGTTCTCTGTACCTAGACTCTTCTAGAACCTTCTGAAACCTCCATATTGTACTGTGATTTTGAGTTGTGAGATCTACTCGAGTTGAGGTTCGTGACAAAAACATTCCAAACCGAGGGCAATACAAGAGGACCAGAAGAGGTTATCGAAGTTGGGAAGGGAAGAGATTATGATTGCCATTGCCAAGAGCTCCATGGAGTTAGTTTTTGTCTCCTGTGCGGTGTCGACCATGCTGGGCTACCACCTTCTCCTCCTGTACCGGATCTTCGGGCGCCCGCACACCACCATGATCGGCTACGAGAACCACAACAAGCTCGCCTGGGTCGAACGCGTGGCGCGGCCGATGGCGCCAGAGGAGGCCGCGCTGGCGCTGAGCGTGATCTCCGACGGCATCTCGGCGTCGACCACGCTGGCGTCGCTCTGCATCGCGCTGGCCTCGCTCATCGGTGCCTGGGTGAGCAGCAGCGCGTCCCCGGCGCTCACGTCCGGCAGCGGCGAGGCTACGGCGACGGCGACGGCGAATTTCGCCTCGCTTCTGGCCTGCTTCCTCGCATCCTTCACATGCTTCGTCCAGTCCGCCGGGTGCTACGTGCACGCAAGCTTCCTGATCAGCGCACTGGGCTCCGACGCGCCGGTGAGCCACGTGCAGCGCGCGGTGCTCCGAGGCGGCGGCTTCTGGGCGGCGGGGCTCCGGGCGCTCTACCTCGCCACGGCGCCTTGGGGGGCTGCCATGCTCGCCTGCTCCGTGCTCACCGTCGCCGTGCTCTACCTGCTGGACAGCAACTCCGTGCCAATGCACCGCCACCAGTTCATGCTCCGAAGTAAAGGGCTGTCCGCGACGATGGCGAGACCGATCGTCGTTGCAAGAGGAGCTGTTATGATGAATTGAGAAGTCTGTCATGATCTCAGAACTCTTTCTTCTTGTATTATGCCACAAAATGTGTGAATTACAACGAGGTTACCGAATTGCATGAGGATTCTTCCGTGTCCGATCACAAATATATTATTTATGTTTTGGACAATGTTTGCTCCACCTTTTGAAAACTTTGACCAATATAAGGATTTTTAAAATATTCAGCTTGCTAATATCAAGAACATATGTGTAGATTTCTATCTTCTTAAAACACAGAAATGCAGAACAGGCCTAGCACAAAGATAGTGTGTATTTACTTGTGATGGGAACTGGAACTTTGCGCTGAATACCCAGCATCGTGGCATAAGCCATGCCAAGCAAGATTGCTTTCATTACGGTAGGTTGGTCATTACAAACCCGTTACAATGTGATGATGCACTTGTCCAACTGTCCGGCAACATTATTATATATCAGCTGTAGACAAAACAACAAGGGCTCTTGCATCCATACCCCTATTTTATATCGATATTGTGATTTTACCCCTATTTTTTTAACTTTGTGAATTTGCCCCTGCTTATTCAAAACGAAGACACCACTTTGCCCCTATTCCGTCATCCTCCACTAATGGTGTTAACTTTTGTACCAAAGGACAAATATGCCCTTGTGATTTTACCCTCCCTCTCGCTCTGTGTCTCCCAGCCCGACACAAGGGGCGGCGGCGGCCGCCGCACTCTCTCCTCACGTACGCGCCTCCCCCTCCCCCTCTCCCTCCCTCTCCCTCTCTAGCCCGGCGGCGCCTCACCACTCCCCTCCCAGCGGCGTTCCTCCCCCCGGCGGCGCGGTGGCTGGAGCTCACGGGCGGTGCGGTGGTGGGAGCTCGCGGTGGCGGTGGTGAGGGCCGCAGCCGCGTCCCTCGTGGCTCGAGGCGGGTGATGTGGCGGGAGGCGAGATCCAACGACGCTCCTCCGCTCCCCCGGCCAGATCTAGTGGCGGTGCGGGGGATCGAGCCCCCTCTCTCCTCCCTCCGGCGATGGTGCGGCGCGTGGACGACGGATCCGGTGGCAACTAGGCGCGGGGACATCGGATCCGGTGGCGGCACGGGGAGCACCCTATCTCCTCCCTCCAGCAACGGCACGGCACGGGGACCGAGGAGCTCCTCTATCTCCTTCTCCGACGGCGTGGATCTGGGCGAGGAGGTCCTCCCTCTCCCTCAAGCCCGCCGGCCATGCCGCGACGCCCGCCCAGTGGCACCCGCTGCGTCGCGAGCTCACATGGCCACAGCGCTCGCCCAGCCGCGCCCCCGACAGCGGCCGCCGCACCCACCGCAGCGTCCGCCTTGCCGCGCCACGAGCCCGCCGGCCGTGCCTCCCCCGTCGATGTCGCGCGCCCTACCCAATAGACACTGGTGGACACGGTGCGGATAAGATAACTGTGATAAGGGCATTTCAGTCATTTCGCATCTGATTTTGTGTTTTATTTTTTTTAAATCGTTTAATCAGCCTCTAAATAACGGACATCCAAACCAAGGGCAAACTGCTCGTTCGTTTCAAAATAACAGGGGTAAAATCACAAAGTTGAAAAAATAAAGGTAAAATCACAATTGAACTTCTGGACAGGGGCAAAAACACCGTTTTCCCAAACAACAATGGCCACTGATTCCTGAAAGTACCTTCCAGCATCTGGTACACTATCTGAAACATCGTCTCAATATCTATAACTGATCACTTGGTACTAAAACAACTGACTAAAAGGTAATAGAGAACTTGGTGGCCAAATAATCAGTCACAATAGCTATCAATTAAGTGAGATTGAGTCAGCCAAAAGGTTACACAGCTACCAACAATAATGGTTTGCATGTACAAATCAGTACAAATACTGCTTTTCGACAGAAAAAGGTGCACAAAATCAAGATTACCTTAACCACCATGAACAGCAAATATAAACATGTGTATGTCTGAACATGACAATAAATAGCCTGGTGCAGAACATAAACCTTCAATCCAAATTTTGTACATCTGAGAGAATTACATGATATAACCCTCTAAAACACTTGCTGCCTACCAATGACAGATGGGCATTTACCGAGTGGAACATAACCCCTCGTGACATAAAAGAAAAAGATAAACTCTTTGCTCCCAGTAAGAAAAACATCAGTAGCTCCAATTACAACACTTTTAGCAGGGTATGTTACGCAGTGAGGTGTGGGGAGGATTCTAATGTCAATTAGTGTGGAACAGTAGTGCATATGAACCATAGATGGAAACCATGAATACCATGACACCATGAAAAGTTAGTTTTTGTTCCAACTTGGAATCAAATTCTTAACCTCTAAATCACTTCTCTGGAGTACCAACAGAATATCATAACCACCAGGTTAGGTAGCACAAGAGAGTCATATTTTCAGTTACCAATCATATGATCGGGTGAGTATATGGTTCCTTTTCATGGTCATAAGTGATTTAGGATGAACAGCACCCTGACTTCTTCACAGCAGAGACATCATCCTTGCCACCAACGTTGATGGTTTGCCCTCTTGGTGGAGCAGCAGGGTCATCGCCAATGTCAAGGGCCTTCTTGCTGACCACACGATAGATCTGAGTTAGGACCTCGGTGAAAGCACTCTCGACGTTCATGGACTCAAGTGCGGATGTTTCCATGAAGAAGGTGCTTTCCCTCTCGGCGAAGCCCTTGGCATCCTCCACGGATACGGCTCTAAGGTGTCGCAGATCAGCTTTGTTGCCAACAAGCATGATGACAATGTTTGCATCAGTGTGATCCCGAAGCTCCTTTAACCACCTCTCCACATTCTCAAAGGTCACATGGCGTGTCACATCGTACACGACAAGTGCGCCAACAGCCCCTCTATAGTACGCACTTGTAATTGCTCGATACCTACAAAGGGAGGATGATATATGACAAACTTAAGCTCCATCCAAAGAAAATTCGGTAGCGAAATTAGGCAATAAATAATACAGCTGAACAGACCAAACAAAACAAGTCATTGGAGACGGTTACAGAGAACATAATTTGATAAAATGCCAAGAAAATCAGCATTATATTCTTAGGAAAATGGTAAATGAAAATCAAACAAATATTAGCCTACATTCGACATCAGGTGCAACTATTTGGCTGGAAGCGTCACAAGAAAAATGAAGTTGGAACTACAGAAACAATAGGAAACAATCCTAGAATATCTTCAGTCTTATAGAACCACTGCAGAATTTACATTTTGCTGGAGAGCTGGCCAAGTGCCACCATATAAGGTTGATTTAGAGACAAACTACCAAACAAGAGGTGCCTGCCTAATTGCCTATTTCCATCACCTACAGAGGTTGCAACAGAACATTTTTTTAATGCAGCCAGGAGGGTAGTACAAAATGTAGAATCACCCAACATATTACCAGATATGACAATGACAGGACATCACTAAGCCATGATGACATGGGATCTTTGTGGACAGCGATGGTAGGAATTAATAAATAGGACTACGAGGACATTAGTATTGTGGTTGCAATTTGCAAGGCTGTTTCTTAATAGAACCAGAGAATGCCTCATGAATGCTATTAACATTCAAGATCAATGTAAATCCAACACGATGATGCCTAGCATAGCAGACCAAGAAACTAAATAAATAAATCGAGAAAAAGAAAAGTGGGAAAGAGAAGGGTTGAGTACCTCTCCTGGCCTGCGGTGTCCCAGATCTGGGCCTTGACGACCTTGTCGTCGACCCTGATGCTCCTGGTGGCAAACTCGACCCCGATGGTGGACTTGGACTCGAGGCTGAACTCGTTGCGTGTGAACCTGGAGAGCAGGTTGGATTTGCCGACGCCGGAGTCGCCGATGAGAACGACCTTGAAGAGGTAGTCGTAGTCGTCCTCCGCCCTGTACGCCATCGCTGCTGAGCCCCGGCAGGCAAAGGCAGGCACTTGCCTTTCCTTCCTGAACCGCGGTTCTTGGGGCAGGAGGACGGGCAGGTGAGGCCCGTAGCGCTTCTCGGGGGAGGATGGCGAGGTGTAGGACGGGAGGCGGACACGAGGCGTGTGGGTGTCGCGTATAAGAAAGAGGAGGAAGCGGAGGTGGGGAGAACGTTGAGGCCACGAGGGCCGAGGGGGCGGGGCGGCGGAAAAATAGCAAGCGGCCTGCGGCCTGCGGCGTGTGGGCGGGCGGACGCGCCGCGCCGAGGCTGGCTGCCTCGCTGGCCGCCTGTGTCAGCTTGCCGTTCGGCCTCGGTGTCAGAGCAACTCCAGCAGTAGCCCCAAATTAGAGCCTCCATTTTATATTTGGGTGTCTATCCCTATTTTTGTTGATCCAAATTTATGCTTCCACTCCAGCAGTAGCCTCAAAACGAAGGCCCACAAATCCATATCAGTAGACAATGACATAAGGGGCCCACTTGTCATTGGGTCAAATCTATCTTCTTCCCCTGAAATCCACCCCACATACCATGACGCGTGCAGAACGAGTGCTCGCCTGTGCCAGTAGGGCTGCGGGGGCCGAGCTCGCGCGGCCAAGCAGAGGGGACCAAGCCCGCACGGCGGACCAAAGGGGAGCAGCGGGCCCGCGCGCACGCGGCGGCGGCGGAGGAGAAGGGGCCGACGCCGGGGAGGGGAGGTCGCAGACGCCATGGCAGGGGCGCGCGCTTGAGCTTGCGCATGCCCAGGTGGAGGAGAAGGGGCCAGGCACCATGGCAGGGCGGCGCGAAGGGGAGGAGCCGGCGAGCCCTATGTCCCTGCCTTCCGTGGATCAGGTCGCACGGAGCTCGTCGGAGGAAGCCACCGAAGGGAGAGGAGCCACGCCGCCGGTGCTCGATCTCGCTTCCGCGCGAGGGAGGAGAGGGAGTCGCGCCGCCGGTGCTCGCTGCCGCACTGGGACACCGCGATGCTCGTCGGAGGAAGCCACCGGAGGGAGAGGAGCAGCGCCCGCACGAATGGGGGCCGGGTTGTTGGCTGTAACACCCCTGGTGTTAGTCTTGCCTAATTGCACATGCATTTCATGAACGTGAGCATCATTCATCCATTCGTGAGCATATATCACATGAAACATGTTATCGAAACATTGCAACGTACTGTATATTTCATGAGTGTTGTTTTTGTGAATTAAAGGGTGTGCAACACCCAAGTGCAACATGTGCAATTCACTTTAGTGGAACCTAGCTAGTTATTGTAATGCAACAAGATCCCGAAACATGTGAAACATGACTATGAAACAAAAGTATCATTTCAATTGTTTTTCATCGTTTCAGTACATTCAGTGCTTGATTATTGTATGACCAATGTGGGGTATGGCTAAATATATTGTTAAACATCCTAGCTATGCTTAGAAAGTCATTAGGAACAATATTCATGTTGATCATTTTGTCTAATTAAGTTTTCAAGTCATGGGTTGACTTGTTTTGACCCTAGGACTCTTTGGTTTGACTGTTCAAAAAGTACCACTTAGAATGTTTGCATGTCTGAGCAACCTAAAACAAAGTTGTAGCAAATTATATAAGGAACAAAAGTTATTTTGTGACCAAGTCATAAAAATGTGCACAACATGCTCTAAATGGTCCCACAAGTCAGAAATTAGGTTGGGTTCAACACTTAGAAATTTTCTAAGTATAAACTCCATTTTTTTAGTTTCTTGAGCACGACTTTGGCATGATTTTACTCTCTGTCCTTTGCGAATTAGACATTGATCTCTAAAGGAGTTTTGTAGCTGGCATGTAGGTGTACAACTTTTGTTTTGATTTCTTTCGCTAACGATCAACGGATTAGGAGATAGAGCATCACCATTTGGCGCTGTCAGTCAGTTCCTTGTTCTCTGAATCGCGCTACAGTGTTTTGGATTCAGACCGTTCATGGCCGACCAAGGTCAGATGGCGGCCGCCGCGTGTCTGCCACGCGCTCGGCTCGCCCTGACCACGCAGCGTGCTGGCTGGCTTGAAGAGGAGCGCGCCCTGCTGCCCTCCGCACGCGCTCTGCCCTCATTCACCCTCCGTTGCCTTCCCCATTCACAGCCGCAGCTGCATCGCCGACGCTTATCGGCTCCCGCCGAACTCGCTCGAGCTCTGCCATGGGCGCCACACCACCACCATCCAAACCGTAGCTCCTCTCTATCGCCCGCGGACCTTGTCGGCCGCCCTCACGGAGCCGCCCAAGTCAGTAGGTGAGCGACATTGCCGAACCTTGCACCACCGCGGCATGGCCGCCATGGTCGCCGCCGGTGATCTCACGCGGTCCCGCCTGACCGCTTCACCGTAGCCGTTAGCCGTAGCATAGGAAGGTCCGTCTTGTTCACCGAAAGCTTTCGCGCGCCTTCTATGGCCACCAACCGCCGGGGCTCGCCGGAGCACCGCCGTGCGCCACGGCCGAGCCGCCGTGGGCCATGGCTGACGTCCCTGGAGTCCACTAGAGTCTAGTTTTAGGAGTGCTATGGATGTGGGAGGCCGAGGTGGGCACGTCGTCGCCCTCGGTTCCACCGGAGAAATCGCCGCCGACGAGATGGCGTCCTTTCCGCGCCATTCGTCACCGTGCTCTGCTTTTCGGTCGCTGACACGCGGGCCCCTTTTGTCAGCCGCCGCTGCTGCGAGGGAACCGGAGCTGGGCTGCGCCGTTCTGGGCTATGTGCGCGCGCAGTCGTGGGCTGCCTAATCCGATCGGGCTGGCCCAGTAGCTGATTAGGTTTCCTTTTTGTTTTGTTTATTTTGTTTTTCACAGATTTGTGTGCACGATTCAAAAATGTGTAAATCAAGTTTGGTAGATCCAAATGTTATGGTTCCAATTTTGTTGAGTTCCTGGTAATGTCTAGTATTTAATAAAAATATTAGATGAGCACAGGTTTTAGAAATTTTGGATGAATTAAATAGGACTTTGAAATGTGTTTTTAGATGCATGCAAACTTGTTGAAATTTTATCTTAAGTTTCTGTGGTCCAAAAATTATGAAATTTTGTGGGTATGCTAGTATTGCTTAGTAGAAGCTCTGGTTAAAATTTTAGAGCTAGTGCATGTATGGTTTTTGAGTTATAGATTTTCCTTTTATCATTAATTAATACTTGTGTGAATTTTCATAATTTTTCTATAGATCCAGTAAAGGTAAAATTTGGTGAGTGTTATTCTTATGATCGAGTGATACTAGGAAAAATGAGAAATCTGTTGCTTGACACTTTTAACTAAGGTTTCCTATTTATGCCTTTTTAAGCACTTATGCCTTGTCATTTTTGTGTAGACTATTTTACTTATCCAAGTGCCATGAAAATTTTATGGTAGTCTACTTAGAGTAGTACTATGCTACTGTAATTTTCTTAGATTTTTATAAGCACCAAAAATATAGGTTGCTGTTGTAGCCCTAGTTTAAAATGAAATAAAATAATCCTCTTAAATGCAAGTTAGTTAATAATGTTCGCTTTGGTGTATCTTTGAAGCATTTAATAAGATGTGTTGACTTAACATATTAGTAGTAGAAGAGAATGCAGTAGATGACATGTGCTTGTAGTATATTTTCTTGGATGATGTTGACTACCTTGCATTCAAACATATTCATTGTATTCATCTCATCCGATGCACCGATTGCATAAGCACTTACGCACATTGCATCATACAGGATCGCAAACCGAGAACCCAGTCGTCATACCCGAGGAGCCCGAGGAGCAGTTCGAGGTGCAGCCGCAGGAAGTGCCAGAAGCCGACGAGGAGGACGTTGAGAAACTTCCAGAGTGCCCCGATCACCGTCCGAGCTCCTTCGAGAGAGGCAAGCCCCGGAGCATTTTCTCCCGGTTTGCAATGATTTAATTAAATGCTTTGCTTTAATTGATGCATTACGTTCAGGAGTTGTTTGCAACCGTTGCTGCATTATACCTTATCTACCTTTGTTATACTATATCCTTGTTACCCGGGTATCCGCAGTCGAGTCAATGCTTAGCTGGCTTAGACCGGTAGAAGTCGGGTGATTCCCTGTCACATGCGAGCTATAGGGGTTACCTGGATCTGCTTGGATGACTATGAAGTCATGGTATAACTAAGTGTTAAATGAAGTTGAGACCGGACGGAGACTTGCAGAGTTTTGGACTGTAGTGTTTCCGTCTGTGTCGATTAAGGACCGACCGTTGTTGGGCCTCGAGTCATGTTGAACGAATGCCTTACATTTAGCTGGCCGGATAAAGTACCTTCCGACCGCGAAGCTGGGAGATTTTTTGGGCCGAGTAGATTGCCCGCAGCGCACTGTGCCGGAGCAGGTGTGGTAGGACACGGGGGCGAGATGATAAGACCAAAGTGCAGTCGGTCGGCCTCCGGGTACATGTGGTTCCTGGCAAACTCGAGATACCTGGAAAGTTGATTCGGTGATCAATATCTCACTTTAGCGGGTGAGTGAGGTTTGTGTAAGGAATAAATCACCAGCTGGTTAGGAATCAATTCGAATCGCCATCGCTCATGGATAGTGAGCACTTGACTTGAGTGACTTCATCGTAGTAAATGTTATGGAACACTTGGACAGTTATAATGAATATGACAGTATGGAAGTTGTTTAATGATCATTGGTTATCATTATCTGCTTAATCACATGTTTACTCTAGTGTACGTGCAAATCTAGTCGACAGGTTAATAATAATTAACTTGCCAATAATGTTTTTAGAAAGGTTCTTGAAATGCTAAAAATGCTTCTTTTTGCAAATGAGTCAGCTACCCTACTATAAAGCCCTTCATAATCCTTGGTGTCACTTATTTTCGGTTATGTCGGGTAAGTCTAGCTGAGTACCTTCTCGTACTCAGGGTTTTATTCCCACTTGTTGCAGATGGGCAGATGTATTACGGCTACTGTATCAACTGCCTGTATCCTGCGATGGGTGATGCTTAGGACCATGGGCATGGTCATTCCTTACGTCTCGTCTAATGCTTTTGTATGGAGATGATCATT